GGGGGGGGATGGGGGGAGGCAACTGCTGCAGTTCTGACTCTGGGCCCCTCTGCTTACCCTCTGCAGCTTCTGTCCTCCCCTGTCCCTTTCCCCCTGCTTACTGTCACTTTCTTCCACATCATGTTCAGGGAGGGAATGGAGCTTGAGCAGGTTCTGATGGGGGGGAGGGGAGGGGAGGGGAGAGGAGGGAAGGAAGGAAGGGAAGGAAGTCTTCAGGGGGGAAAGGGAGGGCAGAGGGCAAGGGGTCTACCCAACCTCTCCCACCCACTATTTTCCCTGATGTGGCAGTGGGAGGGAGATAAATTCAAGACAACCTTCTGATTCCACACCTGGAAAATTATAACAAATTTATAATTTTTCCATATAACTATTGGGAGGTCATTTTATATTCAAGTTCATCTTATATTTGAGTAAATATGGTGTCAAAAGGGTCTTTTGTATTCTCACTGTAAACTGCTTTTAAGGGAAAGGAATGCAATTTCATTACTATTAACAAAGTAAACACCAACTCAAATGACTTACACAATGGATCTGTAATAGTACTGTAAATAAAATATGACCAAAATGAAAGAAACCAATTACTTACTCATGCATCAGTCCTCGTACCACTGTGTTTCCATGCACATGTGAGTCAAAGAATAAGGTGTATAAGTAAGGCAAGAGTGTATATCTAATCAGCAGTGTAGACCGAGATATTGCAGCAAACTCTGCTCCAAAAACTGCTGGATCTTGCTCCTAGAAAAAATTGTATAAAAATAAATGATTATTCTGGAACAAGTGGCCTGTTCATGATTGAAGGAAAGCTGCTGCTGACAATATCAGTATACAGTAAAAGTTAAAAAGCAATGGCAAACTAAGATTAAACCACCACCAGTCTGACATGAATAAAGAATTTTTCATTCTTAAAAACACTCATGTACTCTACGAGTTTCACATCTCACACTGCAAGGGGTTGATGACCCCTTCCATCCGCTTTAAGGCTAGGAACAGAAATTCCACATAAACCAGCTTAAGTGATTGGAAACCAATTTAAGCCCATAACAGAACAGAAGTTCAGTGCACATAAACCACTTTCAAAATGGCTGAAACTGGTTTAAGATAAACCTGGTTAGATGTAGTATCAGACTTAACTGATTAGGTTAAAGTGGTTTAAGGAACTTCTGTCCCAGATTCCCTTTAGATTCAAGTTAACTCAGCCCTGCAGCATCCCAGAATGCCTTGCAGCCCTGGACTGTGCTGTCTGCTCCAGCGGAGCAGGGCTGGCTCTGCCCTGAGCTGTCACAGAACTGAAGCAGTAAAGCCTCTACTCCCCATCCTGCTTCCTACCTAGGCCTGTCAGCCCAGTAGGACAGGGGACAGAGAAACAGTTGCTCACTTTAAAGAATCAACTCTAGGACAGAAAACAGGAACTAAGGGGAATTCTAGATATTCGATATCCTGAAAAAACAGGAGGGTGAAGAATACAGAAGCAAACACATGTGAAATGTGCCATGTGTTTCTCTACTCCAAGATGAAATCCTGGCCCCCACTAAAGTAAATAGCAAAATATAAGTGTTCAATAGGAATTTAAGAGGTTTTAACTTTAGTTCTCATTCTGTTTATGCAAATCTGGCTGATAATAAATGCAAATCAACTTGGGGGCACAATTCATGCTATGTAGCCATTTACCTGCTTCACTTGTGACTACCACTGGATGTGTCTACATGTACATTTACGGCAGCTTAAATTTACTATGCAGTAAGCAGGAACAGCTGATGTCTACACTTCCAGGCATTAAGACGCATTAACGCTAAAGTTAGTCCCAATCAGTCCACATACACAGTGTTATTGTGCAATAAGGCATTGACATGTGCATTAGTGCACAGTAATTAACTGGGTGTAAATTTGATACCTGCACAATGCAGGTATCAAATTTACACTCAAGTCTGCATAAGTTGCTATATTTACTGCACACTACAGGTGTGCACATGTAAGCATGTGCCTGTACTGCTCAGTACTTTTGGTTACTGTGCAGTAAATGTGCACGTGTAGATGGGCTCACTGAGTAGTTTACATGACATCAGATACACTTACAAATTTTTGTTGATACACTATAGTGAGGACATTTCTAAAGTCAAGGCTAAGATTTTTAGAGCAATGAAGATTTATTTACATATTTTCAAAAAAAAAAAAGAGGAAGATATAGTATGAAATCTGCTACCCTGCTTTGAAAAGCCCAGTCCAACATTCTTACAATCTAGAGACAGTACTTCTGGTTTTAAGGAATTTTCCAAAATATTTTACTAGAAACTGTTAGCATTGAGAAAAAAGAAAAAACAGATCATATCCATATTCATTGGATATTCTGGACCTGTTATTTGGAATGAATTAGATGTACATAGAAACTATGGAGTGAATCAATAAATGAAGTCCTAGAATTCCTTTATTTCTTTAAAAATTATTCCTAATTATTCAATTTTCTCTTTAAACTAAAAAATAGCATTGTGTGTTCCAAAGAGGGTGGAACATAAAAGGAACAGAAATAATAGAATTGCTTTTATATTATTTAATGCTTTTCAGACAAGAAAATTACTAATTAATCTAATATCCCTGAGTCAGGCATAGTAGACACTTAAGATTACATTTTAATAATGCACTTAATATGAGGTAAAATTCAATATTGAAGTTATTTTTACTCTCCCTTGCATCTACATCAGAATTAGTTAGGTTAATTTTTCCCACTAGGTTTTGAGCTCTGGATACTAGATAGTGATATTTTTTTAATTATGTTATATTTTCACTACTTTGATAAGTGCACAGTGCAAATACTGCCTAGGTACCATAAAATAATCGGTCTATAGGGCTTTCTGAAGCATTCATAGTTCCCTGTAAATAAAGAATGATCACTAATTTCTTTTTAATTAATAGAAAGCCAGTTTCATAATCTTTAGCAGCTCCAGGAAGACCAATTAAAGACACTCATTTCATTCTTTCTTGAATTTGGGAAGTTGTTATTTTGCAGGGAGCAGACCTTATGAGTTTATCAAGCTTCTTCTTAAACCAAATCAAAATTTTTGCTTCTACTGCTCTTACTGGGAGGCCATTCTGGAACTTCCCTCCTCTGGCAGTTAAGGCCAACCTACTTTCCAGCCTAAATTTATTCAGTCAATTTATACCATGCCCTAAGCATTCTGCCATCCTTGCCCATACTGATCAGTGGCTTCTCCTCTAAAAACATCAACATAAGGGTGATAGGGCCATTTCCCTACATACTTAAGAACTGATGAGTGTACTATGTAACCATATGACTGCATTTCATTCCACACAGTTGGACACACTAATTAAATACCAACCTGTATGCAGGCCACAAAAATAGGCTCATCATAGACATTTCCTCTTCTAGCTATAGAGGAATACTGTGATATTTTGGATACAGTTGTATGGCACACCTCCCTGACTTCTTCATGGCAAGCAGTGTGCTTTGCTACACAATTACCAAGTTTTTTTATGTAATTAATTTATGAAGACATATATAAACTGTACTGGCTGCCATGGTTGAACTATCCTGTAAAACTCCAACTTCACAATAAGGTGAAAGTTAACTAAAAGATCACGAGCTCCATCTTTACACATCTCATCTTACCAGAGACAAAATCAGCAGAATCAGTTATTTGTTCATTGTTACATACAAAAAAGAGAAACAAAGCATATAATCAGAAGATTAATTTCAGAATTAATTTCAGAAGTTAAAGCAATTTCTTTCTATCAAGGATAAGACCTGTAAGGCTCATGCAGTTATATCGAAGTCAAGACAGAAAACAGAATATATTTTTCCATTTATCAGTTTAGTTGCATTTTTCAGATTTCATTTCTTTTAGGGTATCTTGCATTTCTACTTGCATCTGTCCTGGACATTTCTAATGTATAAGAAAAACAGTTTGTATAGCGTTTCTACCTATGATACATGCCTGAGAATTGATGCAAGATAATGCCAGTGGCATGTCCTGTCAGCCCTTAATATGTGTTATGGAGAATACAAAAGGATTGTAGAATATTATAACTCAAGGCAAGGGGATATAATGAAAGTTAATATTAAAAAAGTATAAACAATTATATTTAAGGCACTCAATAATCACAAAATATGTCCTCTGTCTTTGACCTACCAAATAGCTATGTTTCCTTCATAGTGTTTGATAACATCACTAACACCTGAAACAGGTCAGAAACAAAATGCGGATCTTCATAGGTAAATGATGAAAGAATTGAGTTTATCCATTGTTCTGTGCAGGTTATCTTTTGTCATTTAATTGATGCATCTGGCTATTTCTGTATGGCTTTCAAATGTTACACATGATTTATTTTTTTGCAGTTTCCATCCATCCATTTTAAATGCAAAATGCAGAATGCAAAATAATATCTAATAGCTCTGCATCATATAAATCTTTCTTTTTCAGACAGCAACCATTTACCAAAATTTTAGAAGGATTACGGAGTGTGCAACATAAATGACCATGACAAACATGAAAATTATTGACTGTAGTGTTAAGTAACCTTGTTTAATTACCTTATTGCCCTTTGCATTATGGTTTCTGGAAAATGGATAAAATGAACCAAGCTGCATCCAACGCAAGCAGAGTTCATAGGTTGTATCCAAGTTAAATCCACAGATATCAGCACCAATCTGAAAAAAGAAAATATTATTATAATTATTATTAGGTATAATTTGGCTCTATATCAATAAACTACAGTAAAACCTATTTAATGGCTTGTTATTTTGGTTTTGGTGATTATAATTAGAAGGGTGCATAACACAGAGCAATGAGTATTGAGAAAATTGACTAGGACTAAGATGTTACTGGCCCTGAGACTGTTTCACTACATTTAAAAAAACTTATCAACTCAGCTTGCAAGATTAAATATATACATATATATATATATGGGAAATAAGTGATGAAAGAGATATCATGAAGGGAATCTGACTTGAATGGCATACCACAAAATTGTCTCAGAGTGACATAAAGAATATCCAAAGCTGGAACTAACTGAAAAAGTTTATCTTGCTTTAATCAACACCTTTTACATTACCTATGACCTGACCTCTTGCTACACTAAGCATTTGATTTAAGTTAATATTTGGATTAATTTAAAGCAATGCTATGCATGAGAGAGTGATTGCTTGACAGCCATTGGGCAGACTTACGTATGGAATCCCAAAAAGATTAAATTCCAACATTCCAATTATTGACATGCGCATATCTTTCCAACATGAAAAGTTGTCACCTAGCCAATGACCTGCATATTTCCCACTGCCGACAAATGTAGAACGACTCAGAACAAATGCTCGCTTTCCAGTAGCCTTCTGAGTAGCACTGAGAGAAAAATACATCAACATCAGCGATTAAAACCCAACTGAAAAAGCCTTCATTTCCTGGGCTCAGTTCTGAAATTCTCATGTAGGTGAAACCTTTTGTTAAAGAAGTCAATGAGTGTTTACCTGTGTAACCATTATTATTGTGCTCCAGTATCCTCTGAGTTGTGTAAAAATACAGACAACTGTGGCCAGAATCTCATCGTTCATGAATCCCGGACAAGCTGCTAATGCAAAAGATTAAGGCGCCTTTATCCTCATTGCTGTTTTGCTGTGACTAGCTACAATGTGACCCAAGGTGTGCAACTTATTAATTTTCTTTTGGTGCAGGGCCCAAAAACAAAAAATAAAGAAAACAAAAACCCCCAAACTGAATGCCATAGTTTGGGGTGGTTTTATTCTTTTCTTAATTAATGTGCACTAGTCTTATGGTTTAAGTTTCAAATTATTCTTTCAAAACAAAACAAAACTGAAACAATTTGTATCATAAATGTCAAAATGGAATATTTTGACCTATTTAATTCCCCCCCCATTTTTTCCACCTGAAATGATAGAAAGAATGTGACCTTAATTTGACACAATTGCCTCCAAAGAGCAAATAGTTCATTACCCCCCAAAACCTTGACCCATCTCAAAAACAGAAATTAATACTGCATCCATGTAAAGAAAAACTGTAACAGTAAATTACTACGAATGTTTGTCAAAGTTGTCATGAGGATCCTGGATCCCATGACTTTTGGGGTTGGGTATTCCTATTCAGGTTCCCCATGAATCTGAATAAAAAGTGCATCTTTCATTATCTGTGCCTCAGGCTTAATTCTCCCCTCATTGAGCCAGTTACACATTGAAATAAAAAAGAGTTGCTTTTGTGGTGATACAGAACAAGCTATAGGACTCTAAAGAAGACTTGTAGAGGGAATCAGCAAAGGTATGCCAAAACCCCAAGCTCCTGGAGTCAGAAAGAAGGCTGTCTATTAACCATCAGAACTAACAAGGTAAAGAGAGAGAAGGTTGCTGAAAGGCAATATTTAAGTCTTTAGGGCAATGTTTGTGCAGAGATAAAATCTAGGCTTATATGGAGAATTATGTATAGTAACGGGCAAAAAGAGGAAGCAGAGGCTAAATATCCAACCAGTCCTGAAACATTCCCAAAATATTTCCAAAGTATTTTCAGAATTACAAAATATTCATAGAGGGCAAAATTCTCCTCCAAGATCCGCAGAAGAATCCATCTGCACTATTCTTCTCTCCTTATGTGAATCCACCTGCACTGAGAATGAAGTTTATCTGCCCCCATAACAAGCAGTCAACACATTTGAGTGCTATTGTGGGAAGTGTTGCTTCAGTTTGGCTACTCCAACGTATGGCCCTGTTTTCTCATAAATATTTACCATGACTGTTATCAGAACTGCTTCCAAAATCTGCCAGGCCTGATTTACAGCCTCAACAATGAGCCTTGTGATACTTACATTCATATTACTTTTAGTAAGCACCTGACAAGATGTAGTTGCCCCTTTCATTAACGTACTCCAGTCAGTCACACATCTGTTCCTATAAATATGCAGTATACAAAAATAATAGTATTGTTTGCTTGCTGATTAAAGGTTTGTTTAGATACAGGTATTAACTAATGAAGTATGTCTTTGATAGCCAGTAAAAACCAAAAGGAACTAAAGAAGAGATTTCAGTTCAAACTATGAAACCGCCACCACTGCTGCTTTTCTTCCAGCTCTGGCTCTGCTCCAGCCTGGGGCACAAAGCACATATTTGCCCTGGCCCCAGTCCCAGCAGCACCCTGTTTTGGTGGCAGCAGCAGCAGCACTAGTTTGGGCTCCAGTTCTGGGTCCCAACCAGAGCTGCCACCACCACAACAGCTGCTAGAGTCAAAGCTGTGCTGGAACTGAAGGGTAAGCAGCAGAGGTGGGGGGCAGAGGCTCTTGGGGAACAGGCAGCAGGGGGACAGGGAGGGCAAGCACAAGGAGAGATAGGTGTCAGGGGGTGCAGGCACAGGGGAAAAAAGTGGCAGGGGGGACAGGTGCTGGGAGGCAGGCACTGCAGAGGAGGGCAGTTGCTAGGGTATGCAGGGAGGGGCAGGCAGTAGGGAGGGCAGGTGGTATGGAGAACAGGTGGCAGGGGTCAGGCCACTTGACTAACCCACTGCCTACCCCATACTGACTTCCTTACTGCCTGTCCCCCTACTGCCTCCCTCACCACCTGGCCCCATTGCCTACCTTCCTGCCACTGCTTTCCCTGCTGCAATGGTGGGAAGGACAGAATTTACAGTGATTCTCCAATAATTAGATTCTATACATGGAAAATTATAAATAATTTATAAATTTTCATGTATAGAATCTAAATGGAGTCATCCATCTAAATGGAGGGGAGTCATCTTCAATTCAGAGTCATCTTGAATTCAGATAAATATGGTAAATGTCTTAATACTTTAAAGCAGTTTTTGCATGCTAATTTTAGGAACCATCAATTATTTAATTTCACGTATAATATTGTTTGGTACTTAATGTAGCAATGATTTTCAAATAAACCTAAGAAAATTAGAAACCTAAAACCATTAAGTTTTAGACCCCTAACTTGTTACGGTCCCTTGAAAATCCCAGACTAAAATATTTACAATTTTCTGTATTGTCATTGTATCTTCTACTTTAATGAGATGTAGTCACGAGTCTCACAAACGTATTACTGTTATTTCCTATTGATTCTCTGCCTGTCACAAATTTCTTAAGATGCATTATCCTGATGACGCCAAACATTGGGGAAGAGTATCCACACTTGAGGTTAAGCTAGTGATCCAGGCCGACCTTGATAGACTTGCAAGGTGGGTAGCTAAAAACCTGATGGCATTCAATACGGAGAAATGCAAGGTGTTCCGCCTTGGGGGAAAAAAACCCACATCACACTTATAGGCTCGGCAATGCTACACTTGCTAGCACCAAAACCAAAAGAGACTTGGGGGTCATGATTGACCACAAGATGAATATGAGCCACCAATGTGATATCACAGCCGGCAAAGTGAACAAAACTCTGGCTTGCATCTAGCGATACATCTGAAGCAAGACCTTTGGTGAGGCTGCAGCTGGAGTACTGCATCCAATTCTGGGCTCCACAATTCAGGAAGGGCATAGAGAAGCTTGAGAGAGTCCAGAGGAGAGCCACGAATGTGATCAGAGGGCAAGAGAACAGGTCTTATGAAGAGAGGCTGCGAGCTATGGGACTCTTCAGCCTGGAGAAGCACAGGCTCAGGGGTGACTTGGTGACAGCCTATAAGTACATCAGGGGTGTGCATCAGGATCTGGGGGAACGCCTGTGCACTAGAGCACCCCAAGGGATGACAAGGTCCAATGGTCACAAGCTCCTGCAAGACTGTTTTAGGCTGGACATAAGGAAAAACTGCTTTACTGTCCAACCCCCAAGTCCTGGAGTAGTCTCCCCACAAGTGCTTGCACCACCTATTCTAGACACTTTTAAGAAACATTTGGGTGCATATCTTGCTGGGATCCTTTGACCCTAGCTGACTTCCTGCCCCTTGGGCAGGGGGCTGGACCTGATGATCTTATGAGGTCCATTCCAGCCCTAACGTCTATGAAATCTATGAAAACAAACTGATTGCTGTTCATGTAAATAAATCAAGAAATATTAGGCTTTGGGGCAAATTCTGCAAAAAGTGTTATTCCCGAAATGCAGTGGAATCAGCGTGGCTTGGTGGTTCTAGAAATATTCACGTGGAATGGCCCCATGCGGGCAGGAGTGGATGCAAAGGGAATGCAGTGGTGTGGTTGGCTCCACTTTTAGAGCACATTGTGGGAGAAGCAACCAAGGACATTTTTAAGTTCCCAAATCAAATAACAATTCCCACCCCCCCCTTCCTTCTCTTCCCCTCCATGCTCAGCAGCGTACCCCCTCCTCTTCCCCACCTGCTGCTGATGCTGTCGCTGCTGCCTCTGACTTCCACAAGGGTGTGAGGGAGCTCCAGAGGTGCTTTGCCCCATTCCAGCTAGGATTAATTTGTGGAACAAGGAGCTGGGCTCAGCAGGGTAGAGCAGCAGCATTGGCAGTTGCAGGTGTGTTCCCACTTTCTGCCCAATTCCTCAAGCTGTTCCTCCCCAGCCCAGAAGCAGACTCAGGAAGGAAGAAACCACCTTCTGCCATCACTACTGCCTTTGTCCCCAGATGAGCCTGGCTCCCTGCCCAGCCCAGCTGAAGTGCAGAATGAACAGTGGTTGCAGAGTGGAGCAATATGGGGGGCATGTGGGAGCTGGGGGCTGGTTGCAGCCATTCCTGCAGCACCAGTTACTGTTTCTGCACAACCCTTTACAAAATCCTGGATCTGCCCATGCATACAAGTCTCCATACGCTTCCTAGGAATATGGATTAGTCACATTACCAGGAAAGGAATTTATCCTTCTTTACTCTTTGCATAGACTCCTTACAAAAGACTCAGGCACACTTTGTGTGTAGGACAAACAATTTTCCCATTTGCAAAGTTAAAGCTAAGGCTCAGTTATACTGGGAAACCTCTGAATTTAACTTGTGTGAATAATTCATAACTAATTTATTTAATACATTTTACCATGCCATGACTCATCACTGAATCTAATCTAATTTTCTTATGTTTATTTGTTGATTTAATTTATTCACAAAGTAATATCTATGAATCATTCTTGACCTGAAAATTGTGTGAGAACCAATTGTTGCAAGGATTTAATATTTGAAAGTGAAGCCATTTGAACAGAAACATAGGTCACATGACAAATGTCTTTTCTCTGGCTGGATTAGCATAATTATTAGAATGAGGGTTTTCTATGCAAATATATATTATAAATTTGCAACTATTCTGCAATAGGTGTTATTTTGATAAACATTTATTCCAGCAACTTCATCTTCTAGATTATTATTTGTAAGAAAATGAATACAAAAGGGATACAAATACATGTATCCATGAGACAAAATTTATTTTAAAAGCTGAATTAATATGCATGGAAAACAGTTTACAGAAATTGTCCAGCTTTGCTGCAAAACCCATGTGTGCTTCTGCCTTTAGATGCATTTTGAACTACTTTCTATTTGAAACAGTTTTTCTTCTGTCTTCAAGAATTCTTTATATTTGATTGAATAAAGCATTTGTATTTCTTGGGAAGTGCTCTACCCTTGAGAGGCAAGACAATGGTTGTAAAAAAACACGTTTGTGTGGTGTGTTTATGATATTGAAATGAAACAGACATGAAAAAGGTCAAAATTGACCTTTTCTTCCTGTTTTTGTTCTGTACAGCAGACGCAGCATGCACACTGGATGACTGTTTAAAGTAGACTACCTCCTGGGTGGCAAAATTCCTAGTCTCAGGGCAATTTTTCAGATGTGGAGCTGGATTGAAGGATGGGATCCTCTGACATCACAGCTACTAGGTTTTGAGAACACAGGCAAATCTGAAGTCTTTACTCAGCTTTCTTGGGCACAGGGACTGTGTTTGCAGTTGTACAGAACCTAGCACAATGGTGCCCTAATCTTGACTGAGCTTCCACAGTAAAGTTACTAAATAATAACCATAGAAATCATAGAGAAGTAGGGCCGGAAGGGACCTCCAGAGGTCATCTAGTCAAATCCCCTGCCTGAGGCAGGATCATCCCTATCCAAACCATCCTATACAAATCCACGATCTAAACTCTTCATAAAAATGTCAACCCCGATACTACACAAGACATAACACCCTAACACAGGTAAAGTGAGGAACCACAGCAGCCAACATCCTGCTTCTATAAAAGGCTATTAATATATACTCAAGAAAACCCAGGTAGAGGCCCACACCTTCCACCACAGAGGAAGGTTCAAACCCCTCCCAGTCATTCCAAGCTGATCATGGGCTAAAATTCCTTCCTGACCCCAAAGATGGTGATCAGTCTGACCCTGAGTGGACGGGCAAGACCCGCTAGTCAGGAACCTCTGGCTTGAAGTCCTAGGAAGAGCATTGGCTCACCCCAGTCAAAGTCCCCAGCCTTGCCTGCAGCCAACACCTCATGCCTCTGAGGAAGGTTTAAAAACACCCTGACACATGTAGCAGAAAGGGCTTAGAGAACAACCAGCAAAACCTAGAAATATGAGAAATACCCATAGTCAAACATATGCTATGCATATATCTTTCACCAACCAGCAGCCGTCCAACCTCTTCGTGAACACCTCCAGTGATGTAGCATCCACACCTCCCCTATTCCACTGCCTCGCTGTTCTAACAGTGAAGACGGTTTTCCTGATATCCAATCTAAACCTATTTTGCTGCAACTTCAAACCATTGGTCCACGAATGAAACAGCAAAATTAAAAAGTGAATGAAAACAGCACAAATACAGCAGGATTTGATCCCTTCCTAAAACAGAAATATATATTTTGTGTCTAACTTCAGTCCCAACAAAGAAAAGGCCATAGGTTGCAGTTGGCAACCTATAGCCATGAAGAGACTGAATCTGGCCTGAAGCAGTTTAAGGGGATAGGCAGCATACTGCAACCTAGGCAGCAGAGGTGTCTCCAGGGTCAGACCACCTGCCTCTGCTGTCTGTTCCCTACTCAGCTGTCCCTGCTGTAGAATCATAGGGCTGGAGGGGACCCTGAAGGATCATTGGGTCCAGCCCACTGCATGAGCAGGAAAGAAATCTGGGGTCAGATGACCCCAGCCAGGTGACTGTCCAGTCTTTTCTTGAAGACTTCTAGGGTAGATGACTGCATCACCTCTGGGGATAGCTTGTTCTATAGTCTGGACACCCTAGTTGTAAAGAATTATTTCCTAATGTTCAGCCTGAAACTATCTTCCAGGAATTTGTGGCTGTTGTTTCTAGTTTTCCCCTGGGGAACCCTGGTGAACAGTTATTCACCGAGCCCCTGATGTACCCCTCTAATATAGCAGTAAGCTGCAATCAGGTCCCCTCTCAGCCTTCTTTTCTTTAGGCTGAAGAGTCCAAGATCCCTCAGTCTCTCCTTGTATGGCTTGCCATGCAAGTCCCTGATCATACATGTAGCCCTTCTCTGGACCTTCTCGAGCTTTAGCACATCCTTGTTGAAGTGCGATGCCCAGAACTGGACACAATACTCCATTTACGGCCACAGCAATGTTGAGTAAAGCAGGAGAATCACTTCTTTGAATTTACTGGAGATGCACTGATTGATGCATGCCAGAGTTTTCCACTGTGTTCCTATAGTGCTGTGAATTTAGGTCTTCTATGAAAGCAAAAGGTTGCCAACCCCTATCTAAAAGGTCATTTGCTTTCCCTTTTTTGTTTGGTTTGTTTTTGAATGTTTTAAAATATATATCCATCCTTTGAATATCACTAGTTTCAAAATGACAGATATTGTTAGAATGAACACTCTCCCTTTCCCAGATGCATGAATAACATCCTTTAATATTAGGTTAGCTGTGGTGCAACTCAACCATTTAGAGGAATAGTGTCTTAGAGCAAGCTAAGCTATTTCCATGATAAGAAGAAGATTCTTATCTTTGGGCATTTGTAGGTTTCAGATTCTTTGCCTAAAGTTATATCTTCCTGTGCTTATGACGCTGCAATTTGCTGCTATAGCAATTTTCTAAAGTCATCAAGAGCCTGATTCTGTAGTTGCTGTGGATGAAAAACTCTGATGGCAGTCATTAAACTTTCCACTTTAGTTCCACATGAGCAGCACCTAAAGAATTAGGTCTTATCAGTAAATTATGCTGTTAGATGAAACAGAGGATAAAGATTTTGTTTTCTTGGAGTGGTCCTTAGTGTGTGACAAACAACAGAGAAATAGTCATTGCTTAACAGGCTCCATTTCAAAGTTTCCCAAGTAACATACATTGTTCTTTATATTTGTTATTTAAACTGCATAAAATCTGTTTAGGAGAAAGTACTTAGGTAACTTACTAGAAAGTTGGTGCTGTTTGTGACCAGCCAAAGAGGGAATGTGTGTTATAATGATCGCCCAGATAAGTCTTTGAATCTGGACATAGAGTCTTCCAAGCCAGAGAGTTACTGGTAATTCCTGAGAGTGACAGGCAAAGTTAAACCCTTAGTTATATTGTATTTCAAAACTTTTCACATTTTTATTCAACAAAGACATACCACAAGATATAATAAAATGCCAAAGATTTAAAAAGAGAAAAAGCTAGAGCGCTGCAGGTTTTATACTGCTTAGATCTCTGCATGTCAAAGGCAACGCTGACTCTCCTTCTAGGTAAACATAAAGCTATGTTCAAAGGATGTACAGCTGAGCAGAGTGTCTTAATGTCATTCAGATTTTATGTCCAGTAAAGCAGTTAGCAAGCAAATCACTGAATCACTAATAATGCTACAAAGTGACACTTGTTACTGATTAACATAAATCATAACCAATTTCAGTACATTCTAGAGAGTCACCGATCCTAGAAAACAAAAATATAAATGTACAAGCACAAAGATTGCACCTAATTATGCAAAATCACGTGTCCTCCATTTGCTTATCACTAAACTGTAAATAGCAATTGGGCAGCAGATTTCAAAAGGTCTCAGAGAGTAAAAATTCATATCTTAGGTTCAAATATTGCCTCTGTTGTATCTTATGGAATGCATGAGCTTTATGGAAGTGGCAATAGTGTCCCATTGATCAGGGTAAAGGGGGAGAGGAAGGATGCACAATAGAGCAGTTTCCCAAACTTGATATGTGGGGCACACTTTTTTTCTGGATTAAAATTGGTGGTACACTTCACTCTCACACCTGCAGAGGTGTGTATGTGTGTGTGCGTGTGTATATATCTTTTACTTTCCTGTTTCAAAACATATCACATATTCCATTCTCCTGCCGGAGGACATCAGATCAGTTCTGAGATGTACTGTTAAAGAAAGAAATACATTTTTCTTTCAGCAAAGGATTAGACTTTATACCAGTCGTTCTCAAGCTGTTTAGTCTCAAGACACCCCTTTTAACTTTTCTGGATGTCACAGCATGACAAATGAAAATCACTGAGATGGAACTAAATTCAGAAATGATACAGAAGGGGACTTGGAGGCTAAAAAAGTTGAGAATCACTGATCTAGCTGGTGCCACTTAAGGGTGATGGAGCCAGGACCTCCCCCTGCTGTGCCCTTCTCTTTCCACTGTCTGTCCCCTCCTGACCCTTAGTCAGTACCTCAGGGGCAAGGACAGCCCCTGCTGCTGAGGCTACTCCTGCAGGGTCTCACATGATGGCCACCCCCCCTAGATCCCCTCCTCCTGGCTCTGGGAGCATGGAAGGAGTGGAGGGGATGAGTTGGGCTGCAAAGCACAACTCTATCTGGGTGTCTGCCAGCACACCCACTCACAGTAGAGGGGGTAGCTAGGAGTGGGGGAGGGAGGGGGAAAGAGGGGGCTGGCACAGGGACTGCCTGGGGGCAGGGAAGGACAGGGGAAGACAGCAGCAACAGCAGCCTCCAGAGAAGCAGCCACAGGCACTGCTGGAGTAGCTGGGGCAGGCACAGGGTGCATTTACCTCCTCACACAGGTGGCTGTCACGGCACACTTCTGTGACTTGCACAGCACACTAGTGTGATGCAGAACACCCTTTGGGAATCAATGCTGTAGGGAGTCGCCATGGGCTGGCACGCGTGATGTTCTATTGAGCAGCCATCCCCAGAGCTCCCTCAGCAGCAGTGGGAAACACAATTTAAAGTAAAATAGGCTGCAACAAGATTTGTCTGTATGGCTGTTAGCCAACAATACCTGCAGTCACTGCAAAGCAGTTTCAGAAACAGTCAAGGGATGACCATTGTCCTGAAATCCCTTTCATTTAGCCTAACATTGCAGGTGCTCTACCTCTTGATTCCAGCATGGGGGGAGGTTTCTGGTTTTACAATACCAACCTGCCCTGACTCCAAAGGAGATCATTGCAAAACTTATTTGTTGCAAAGAATGTGAATTTCAACCAATATGTGTAGCCTCCATGAAACTGCCATGGGACATTCAGAAGGAAAGAGATGATGGTAGACATATTTGGTTTAGGTAACGTATTTGTTTCTGGAGTCGGGTTGGGAAATGTTATAAAATTATCTTAAGAAAGAAAAAAGGCATTCCAATTTTTTTCTTTTGAATATTTAATTATATGCACATGCTAATGTAAATACTTATCTGTGAACAGGCAATTGCAATGCCTAATTGCACTTTACTGGGTGTTCGAAAATCATTACTGTAAAATGTATCTCTCAATCTCCAAAACCTTATTAGCTGTCTGCTGTACTATTCTGCCAGAGCTAGACTCTTCATGATTGGATCCTTTGACACAGAAGGCTGCAGACTCCAAATTGCCTGATTTGCATGTGGGACAACTTTCTTTATAATCAATTTAGCAGCAACTCTTACTGACATCTCGCTACTTATGACTTTGAAGAAGAAACTAAACTTCTGAAGAATGTTCAAGCATAGTGTTCTAGGGACATTTACTCATGAGCCCTGTCCCACATAAGAAAAAAAAGGGAATATAATAGAGAAATTACTAAGAATGCTTCCTATTTTATTATTTATGCTTATTTTTAAAACTGCATAATCACCTTTATTTCTACCTTAGCCAGAATGCTCATCTTACCCCTGTATGTTACTCATTATTTTGTTTAGGTGCACTATAGAAAATTGCTTTTTGTGGACCATATTTCCATATTACACCATCCTTCATTTTTATATTTTGGAATTACAGGCACAAATAACTGTGGACATGAGATGAGGTCACTGGAAGCCAGGTCCACAGAAGGAGTTTAGGCAGAATTTACATGCCTAAGGCCAACCATAAGATCTTCAAATTCTCCACTTCCCAGTGTGGCATATAAGACGGTTCTGGTCAAGTTGTTCTGCTTATCCACATGCCCAAGACTGGCTCAGATTTGTCAAGCAGTTCAGCATCCAGCTCTGATCAGGAGCCTCAAATAAGAATTCCCCCTACCCTTGTTGAGGGCCCCTGCCTGGTAGGTATATTCTAAGCATGGTTGATGTGCACCTGTAATATGCACCTGTAAATGAAACACGCAGAGGCATAACAGGGCAGCTCTGCACCCTGCACAGCTTCAGCACACAGGGCAGTACTGGCTGTTGGCTCAGCCAGCTGCAGCTATTTTTGCACATCCCCTCCCACAAAGGCAGTACCTGAGGCTGCTGCCCCAGCTGTCCCCCCTCAGTTATGCTACTGGAAATACAGAAACAGCCCCAATTCTCATTCAAGAGCACAGAAGCATGTGGCGCTGCTAGTGGCCAGAACTTTCGTACAGAATATAGAATTCAACACTCTTTCTAAAGAGAATCATACCTACATCTCTCACAGCCTGACTGCTAGGCTATAGGCTGTCGTAGGATAGAAACACTATCAGCCCCTCATGTTCAAACTGTTTCACTGTGCAGAAAAGAATTAAAGATTCACTGGGCCAGGGGGAGTGAGAATGAGTGGTTCGTGAGCTCCACTGGCAAAGGTGATGAGTGGGGTTCCAGCCCTTGCTCCAAGGTGTGATTATATATCTTGGTCAACGACTGTTTAATGTAAAATATATCAATAGCCCTTGGAACAGGGATCCAGTTTTTGACTGAAACAGCTTAGGCCTCTATCCCCAAGAGAGAGTATAGGTCTGAGAATCCCAACTGGAGATAGGTGCCTAAACAGTTAAGTCCTGGAGCATGGCAACACCAAAAAGGCATCCTACTCCCCAGCATTTCTTTTCGGCTAGCTTTGGTAGCTCCCTCAGCTTGCTGGGCTGGGGACAGACATTACACATAAACCAGTTTAAGTGATCAGAAACTGGTTTAAGCCTGTAACAGAACAGATGTTCAGTGCACATAAACCAGTTTTGAAAATGGCCAGGTTTGAGATAAACCTGGTTGAATGTAGTATCAGACTTAACTGATTTGGGTCAAACTGGTTTATGCAATGTCTGTCCCAGACCCATTCCTGCTTTAAGTTAAATCAGAGTCCCCCAGCATCCCCGCATGGTCTCTGGGCTGGGTGGGGTGCTCTACTCCAGAGACCTGGGCTGACCCCTCCCCTCTTCTCCGTGGGTGCAGCTCCAGCAGAGACTGCAGATATAGCAGGGTTTTCAGGGTTTCCTCCTGCTCCGCTCCCCACCTCCCCACCCCCTGCTGAAGCAGGGATCCCTTCGCACCTCTGCCTCACACAGACACCTCTCAGCATTAGCTAGCAGACCACATGCTGGCTATGGTCCATGCTATGGGAGACAGCACAAAGGTAGACAGCATAGTGTCGTCTTAGGGCTTTTTGGAGCTAATCAACAGGTAGCTGGTAATGTCCCTTAATGTCCCTTAATGTTCCGTAATGTCCCTTAATGTTCATCTTTGGAAAAAGTTGTTAGGAACAGCTTGAATGAATGAGAGAAGCTTTTGTTTTCTTAATGAGCTGATAAACACTGAGTTAGGGGTGATAAACACTGTGATATCAATGACTTGCTGGGCTGCTGAGGGGCGTGGGAGGAAGTCATCCCTAATCAGAGCATCCTGCCAGGGCCTGACCAGGCCCATTTCAGCTCAGCACTGTGGAAGGGAAGGGAGGGCTGCTCTGGTGCCCCCCAGCTTCTAGCCTGAGTCACTGCAGGCATGTGGCTGTATTTCTGGAATGAAAAGGGAATGTCTATCCACCTCCAAATCAGTTCAAGCTTTGCAGGTTAAATTAACCTGCAAAGACTGAATCAATTTAGGATCAGACTTTTTGAATGTCTGTCCCTAGCCCTGATGTTTGTAAGTCCTGTTCTGAGGAATCTAACTCTCCTCATGCATTGTATAAGAAGTCTATGTAACTAGTTGCAGAGGCCAGGTGGCTAAAAGTTAAGCTTTGCAACCAAAGCCTCTTCATTGACATAGCCCTAAATCTCTTCTCTGTAATGCCAAGGGACTTGATATTTCATTCTCCCTAGCTGTGAATGCAAAAGTGTACATGCAAACAGAAATGATAACAAAACTAGATGCCTAGCTGAGGTGGAAATGCAAGATGAAATTCCTCTTCAATGCCCCTATCTTTGACCTTACTGAGGTTTTTGGCCTGGGTAGGGGCAGTAGGATCTGTGCACAGTGGTTAAGTTCAACTAACTCCTTTAAACAGAGGAATGATTCTACAATCCTGAACATTTTATATTTTAAAAAGGGGGGTTGTTTCAATTTTTACAGTTTTTAATAATACTTCATGCACATTTGCTGTGTGTCAGAAATTATTTAGTTAGTGCCCTGAGCACCCCAGTATGGGGGGAAAGGAGATTTAAAAATAAGCATATTACTGTTACAAAGCATTTATATTGGCATACCACAGACAGAGAAAAACATAATGAAATATCCCATATTTCAGTGTCAATAACTAAAAATAAAACTATCAGTTTCCTACTGCTTATTAGGCTTGCTGTGGCAGCAGGAGTGTTTTAGTAGAAATGTTGACTGGATTAATTGCTGGATTGTTGGCATCAAATAAAGCTGCTCATTTCCTGTGATAGTGTGTCAGCCTGAGAGAGGAAAGTTTACCAAAGATACTGTTCTGTTAAGAACAATCTGTTAGGATTGTTCTGTTAGGAAAATGTATAGGAATCTTGACCTTACACCCAAAAATGAGCAGAAGTTTAATCTTTCATGTATATATAGCATGCAGTTCCTGATCCAAATCCTGTGCATATAAGACAAAAGACTCCCAGCTGATTTGAGGGGGCTTTGGTAATGCCTTAAACTGTGCAGAACTGAAGATATATATCAAAATATTTTTACTATCAAAGCCAGAGATTTTAGAAAGAGAGCTGCAAAAAAGAAAGGCATGCTATTCGAGTGAAATGCAACCACTGCAATACAGCAAAATGTACCCTAGACTTGCTTCTTTGTCCAATATACAAGCTGTTGTTCAGAATTTTAATAGCCTACCCACAAAGAAAAAACATACGTGAGGAAGGGGTGGGCTTCGCACTTTTGCTAGCAAGGGTTTTCCTTATCACCTGTGCCCAGGGCTATGGGGAACAGTGGGAGAAGGGGGTGCCCCCATCCACAATCAGATCACTCTCTAGTTCCTGTTTCCAAAATGAGGGGAAAGAGGGGCTTCCTAAAAGGATATCCTGGGCCCACTAATTTGTCTTATAGGCTCTGCCTGTACCTCATATCCTACCTCAGTGGGGGGCCAAACTTTTTGGCAAGTACCTTTGACAAGGTAAGCCCCACATCCTCCCTGAGTGCCACTCTGATTCCCTTCCCCAGAAAGATCTGTTCTGCTCCCTGCCCTATTTTTCACTGTGTTCCCCGTTCCTTCCCCAATCTGCCGCCAGCCACACACTGGAACTACCTGTGCCATTTGTGTCATGCTATCCCTGGGTTGGCCACTGCTGTCCTACATGTTGCCTGTTGATCAATTTCTAACTACTTAGGGAGCCAGTAGGATGGAGTTATAGCATTGTTCTAGCCAGCAGGGAAGTGAATAACTACTTGCAAGATTATTGATTACACACAGATATCTTTTCAAAGAGTTGTTAATATGACAACTACATTATGCTGGTTAAACCCACCTCTTGAGATTTGACACTGATTAGACAGCCTTGTATCCTTTTTCTGTGGATCAAACCTACCGTATTCTCAGAAACACTGTATTCCTGTATGACAGGGGTCCATCCCCAGGCCTGTCCAATGTAGACCTGACCCTCTGTCTCTGGGCTACCCACTGACCTTTCTCACCTGTCACACCTTGATGGAACAATAATTAGGATGTTACTCAGGTGGGAAGGCTGCCTATTTACTACCCTGACACTAGTGGTTGTTATCCACCGCTCAAAACCTCCCCTACATGGTGGCCCACGCCTTGCAGATGATATACAGATTTTAACCTGCATGCTATGGCACTGCAGCTGCTCACTCCCTGGTGCTGTGCCCCTGGCACTAGGGTCTATTCACCCCCTGTTGCTGTGCCACTTGGCACTGGAGTCTGCTCCCCCTTGGCGCTGCTCCCCCTAGCGCTGGGGTCTGCTCACCCCCTGTCGCTGTGCCCCTTGGCACTGGGGCCTGGGGCTCTGCACAGCAGTGTGTCCCAGTGAGGCCTTCTCCTCCCCAGTAGCCTCAGCCCGAGGCCACTGGATAAAACAACAACATAAATATGAGCCCCTGGGCTATAACATAATACAAGTCCTACAAGCTACACTCTTGTTACATAAATTGCTGATTTTATCCCCTGGAGGCTAGTCCAATTCACCTCTAGAAGAGAGTCACACTTTCAGGCTGGGTCCAACTCTATTTTACTGCTTGCAAGCAGGCCAACAGAGGAGCTTGTTGCTCAGATCAGTGCCGACCCTAAACAAAGAGTGCACATGGCTTTTATTGAGCTAGCATTTTTTTCAGTTGACGTGTTACATTTTGATTGGTCATTTCAAACCAAAACCTGAGCAACCTATAAGACATACGTAGTGGGCTATCCTGTACCATGTGGGTGGAAAGTTACAGAATGCAGGGGTTAATACTAAAACAAGGAACAAAGAAACATAGAGAAAAGTAACTATTTTTGCTACACTCTGGCTCCTTAAAACCCCTAAACTGCTCCTCGAGTACTGAGTACCTCCCAGTTTTGGGTAGCTGGTAGACTCCTGGGGCCTCATTAGCCATAGCAACAGTCTAGCCAGCAGCCACAGTGTTCGCAGGTAGTTCTGCGATGCAGGAGCTCCCTTGCCCTGGCAGCTTGCCAGAGGCCTCCCCTCTCCAGCCTTGGCCCTGGGGTTTATATGTGCCCAGAGCCCTATCTCCTTCCTGTCAACTGACTGGCCCGGGTGGTTGGACTTTTAACCCCTACCCTCCTGGTACTTGGTGTTCCTATAGACTCTGGTCTTAAAGGGGCAGCCCTGCCTCCTAATAACAGGGCTAGGGTTCCCTGTTACATCCTGCAAATAGTAAAAAATGTGTCTCACAGGGATCTACAAAGCTTCTATGTAGTTCCAAAGAAATCCTACAAAGCATTGTGCCACTTGCTGTCCACATGTGGATAATTTGATATGTTTTCAGGTATTTGTAATATTTCCATTTCCCATACAGAATACAGCACTTGACATACCAAAGTCCTCTCATCTCTGCTTCTGACTTCGAAGTCACTTTTTATTCATTCAATTTTCATAGGGTGCTAGGGGCATTTTTTTTACATTTAGAGCCAGCTTTGCTGATTAACATAGGTAATAAGGGAAAGACACTGGCTAGACATGGTAACACTGGCAGACTGAAGCAGATTTTTGGCTTGGAAAAGGACAAGGAATGTCTTTTGCCTAGCTCTGTTGCAAGGATGCCAGAGTGAAAAAAGGGTCTTGTGCTTTCTTCACCTCAGAGCTGGGGACAACTGAACCCTAAATGACTATGTAGCAGAAACCATATTGATGGTACAGTAGGCACCCAACAAGAGAAGACAAGATACTTTGCATTGGTTGAGGATACAACTTACACAAATAAAGATTATTTTCAAATGTACTCACGAGGCACATATGGGGGGTTGTTGATATCACTGGGAGTGCAGCCTGGCTGCTGACCATTTCCAAAATTAGCTGGTTCATTCATGTCCTTTAAGAAATAGAGTTAAACATAGGTAAGGAGTAATATCTGGTATTTTGGAGACAACAAAATAAAAATAGAATCAGACTTACAATCCAGAGTCCATCATAGTCAAGGACATTTTTGAACTCAACACATAGTTGGGTCCACCAGTCAGCTGTCTTGGGGTTAGTGTAGTCAGGAAACACCGAATCTCCAGGTGGCCACGCCTAGAATCAGAAGTTGTAAGTACTTTATTAATAAGCAACTTTTGATCATTTTAGCACTATGAAACAACACTGAAACATACACATAAATTAGGAAAACCAACCTTTCCAACAGCTGGAGTTATTCCATCAGAATTGTTAACCCATATTCCCATTTCTTCACCAAGTTCATAGGGCCTGTAGGTACCTGGTGCTTCATCCTTACTTATGAAAGGATCCTGAAAATGATGGGTTTTTTTAAGATTATCAGAAGCTCTAATAAAACAGCTCTTTAAATTATCTGTATTTTTCAGAATAATTTCAATGTTATAGCTAATCTGTATTGCACTGGTAGCAGACAAAAAAGATATTAAAATGGAGCTAAACTTGACAGCTCATCTCAATACAATATGCAGTAAAGTTCAATAGAGCAGTCTTGCAATTATCCACCAAACAAACAATCCATAGAAATTCAAGAATGAAGTGACACCATCTAATGATTCCAGGCTTATGCTTAAGGTATGTTAGTATTAGTGATTCCATATGTAAATTAAACTAATTGTTAAAAAAAGCATTTGAATTATTTTCCCCTCATACTATCATGACTGCAGAGTTAAGCTTTTCTGAGTTTCATTATCTTTTTTTTTTTGCAGTTTAATATGTTTTAGATTTTTTAAAGAAAAGTTTAACCTTCATTCTCAATTTCCTGCATTTATAATGCATGATTTTGAGATAATCATAAAATCTTTGCAATATACCTCACTCTAAAAGACTGATAACTATTCTCAATCCTATATCCATTAAACTGCAGTTTATCTGAAATTATATTTTCATTTAAATTAAACATTTTGTATACAAACCCTAGACTTAAGACTCAGAAAGGCTGCTGCTATGTAATATTTCTCATGATCTGAAGCAAAATCTGAACATTTGTCTTAGTTCCCTTTTTAATTCTCACTTCAGATTTACCAATTCATGCTGGAGTATGAAGAAGTGTGAAGCAGCCCGGGGTGTACACTTATAAGTATCCCTTCCTGTTCTCTGTTTCTTGCACTTCTTTACAGTCCCCTGCACACACACCCCCTCACACTGAGCTCACATACACATATACAAATCCTCTTTCCCCTTACATTGCTTTGTGTATATCCACATTTGTGTGCATACCCACATTCTTTATTCTCTCCTGTCTTATTTTTTAAAATGAGAGAATTTTTCATTGCTCTCACTGGGACTGAGGCTTTAGGCTGCCCCTGTTACATGCCCTCTTACAAAATGGGTCCCATTTTTTCCAAAGAGACTAAAGCCAATTTAGGGAAAACGGTGTCCACAATGCCATCAACAGTGAAGAAGAATTCTGTGAGATACAGGGGAATGGAGAAACCACTCTGTGACCTCTGTCCAAATGAGAATAAATGGAGACAGGTGTCCTTTTCAATATGTCTTTAATTAAGGACAGCTGCCCTCTCAGTGCATTTGGGCACAGCGGAAAATTGCAGCTATATGGAATATGGCAGTTCTATGTGGAATTCTCTGTAGAAATACTTTTGTTTGGGTTTTCTTGAAAAGAAATTTTACAGTTAAGAAAAGCGACAGGAAAACATTACTATCAGTCCTAAAAAACATTCTGGTGTAGCCCACTGCATGTAATTTAAATAACCTTTAACTATAAAGATTGAACAGTCTATATTATTCCATTATTAATTTTCACGAGATACCAAAAAGTCTGATAGTCTGTGCCAAGCTTCTTAAAAGGCACATTTAAAATTAATTTTAGCACCTAAATTAATTACCAGATTTACCTGCAAATTCTCAGAAAATGCATTCTACGTTCGCTTAAGTCAGTGCTGCAATTTTAGCTGGGGAACATTATGTTCTTCCATATCTAACAAATGTGTTGAATCTCTGCTTTAAGTGCAAAACTCTATTCAGCCTTAACGATAGACCCACAGTTGGTGCTTCTATAATTAAGGAACGCAAGTGTCCATTAAAGTTTTAACCTGCTTAAGTAGTTCAGCTTTGAAAAAAGAAAAACTGTCCATCTGCAGTAATTATTTTTTAATCCCGGAAAAGATGGTTCCCAAGGGACATCAAGGCTCTAACAAGTCAGCTTAATTAGCTACTCCTAATCAGGACTTCAAATTTCTTTTAGCTAAGAGGTTATTCCAGTGCACACATCTAATATATTATGCAGGCTTAGCATCATCATCCTAAGCAGAACAAAAGCCTTTCATACCTGGTTTTGCATTCCACAAGGTTTAGTTTTGGTTCTTTTCCTCCTAGTGCCTGTGTCTGTTAACTCTTTCCCCATCTGGCTCGTTTTAGCTGTCCACCCAGCAACTGTTCTTGGGGAAGTCTGAGCCCCCTTAACTCCTGCTAGTTATAGTGAATATTGTGGGCAATCAGAACTCCTCAAATCCAGGCCACTTTTCCCTGTGTGCTCAGAGGTATGCCCCTACCTTTAAAAACATGAGTTGTAGCACCTCCCAGTACCCTACCGTTAAAAGCTGAAGTCATTGAGCATTATTTTTAACCACCATACCTCCTTATTGACAAATTTTAAATAATTTCTAGTTAATGCAATCCCTTGCTGTTTCTATTTTAGTATTATTTAATGACTAGTATGCAAAATCTTTCACTAAAATTTTCCTGCTGTAATAGATATTTATCATTTTACTTTATAATCAATGTTACTTTTAGAACATCTTCCTTTGTTTCTAAACAATGCATTTGTTCTGACTCAGAATAGGTCACAATTTAAAACAGGAACACTGTTCAAAGCAATGACGATGAGCAAGTCCTGAGAAGTTTAGATAACATTTTCCCTTAGACAGAAGGGGTGGTGAAGTGCAAGACTTCCAGCAGTGCAGTACTATGGTATTTCTATTGCTCAGGTGCCAGAAGACTGCACTCAGAAATGCTTTTAGAAGCATAATCTTAGCAATGTACTAGTATCTGGATAAGAGAAGACATGTTGGAGTCTCAGCAGCTCATGTATGTCTGGGTAGGTCTGGATGCCTTTACAGCTGTGCATAAGCCAGCATAGAAACAGGCAGTAAAGCGAAAGAGCTGGCCACTGAGTTAGGACTGAGACATATCCATCATTCACAAGTGCTTACACTGGTGGTTCTCAGCATCTATGGCCAGACCAGACTGAATGTAATTCCATCTGATTTCAGAAACTAAACAATCCTGGGCCTAGCTACTATTTGGATGGGAAACCACCTGGAAATCCAGGTGCTGCAGGCAACCCTCACCTCTACATTCAAGGCATGCCTCAAGAAAATGGACATCAAGAGCTGGGAGGAGATGGTTGCTGACCCACACCAATGCTAAGCAACTCAACCGTGGCACCCTGATAGACAACCACTGGGGTACAGTTTTGTTAGCAGTTCATAATGAACAAAGGATCAGATAATTTTGACCTATTTTCTATTTGCATGTTGTTCATGAATAGACTGACTTTTATTAACCAGTTCATTATTCACAAGCATTCAAATACAGTGATCAAGATCATCAGCTGGTGCAAATGGTGGGACTTCAGTGGTGTTATGCTAGTTTGCAACTGATGAGGATCTGGCCCCTTTTGTCAACACATTTTATGACTTATTGGCAAACCACATTCACCACATGTGTGCCACTATTTGGCATTATCAACTTGTGACCTATCACTTGCTACATATTGTTGTTTCAGTCCTGTGGTTTGGCAAGCATAACTCAAGGAGATAGTGAGGGCAGCCTGTGGCTGTTTGGAACAGAGCAACTACAGAACTAGGAAGATTTTAGGATATTTCAAACTTTTCCTTTTCTTGGCAATTGTGTCATGCTTTTGCCTAAAACGTTAATGCTGGACAAAATCAGGTTATTGAAGCAAGGAAGTTAACAGATTTAATGTAAGTTAATAGACCTTTCAAGGCATACTGTGGCATAACAGTCAGTCTGGCTGTCCTTAAGAGGAGAAAAAGGTGATTCATACAACAGATACATAACTTTGATTTCAAACAGTATTTAAAGCTTTAGAACAAATTTTGAGGGAAAGAATAACTAAAGGTAGGGAGGTAAATGGAAATTGGGATAAAATGCAACAAGGCTTAAGGAAGCTAGATTGTGTCAGACTTAAATGATAGCTTTCTTTGATTTTTTCAGACATAGGAAATGCAATCTAGATGCCAACAAGTGATTTCACTATGTAAGAAATTATTAAAGATGAAGATGATGATAATTAGTGCAGGAATTGTAATACAGGTAGGATTCTGGTTAACAATGAGAAGGCAATGGATAGAACTGAAACAGCTTTTAAGAGTAGGAAGATACTAGTGGAGTTCCTTAAAGATCAATCTTGGGACCAATATCAGTTAGAACTGACCTTAGCACATAATGTAGGAGGCTCCTAGTGATATTTGCTGATGACAAATTGTTTGACGGTGTCATTAATACTAAGGAAGATCAGAATCTTACATTGGCAGAATTGCTTGACCTGAAAAATGGGAGTAATAAAATAGGGATGTAATTTAAGGGTATATGCAGCCTGTGAGGCCACGCACTTAGGGACTAATAACAAGAATCCTTGTTGTAAGCTGGAGCTCATAAGGTGGAAATGGGAGGAGGAAATAGACCTTAGTGTATTAGTCAATAAGAGGATGATTTGGAGCCACCACTGTAATATAACCATGAAAAAGGAAAATGTGATCCTTATATATAATGGGGAAAAATACTTTCAGCAGACATAGGGAAGTATCAGCGCCACTGCACAAAGTACTGGCAAAAGAAACTAATGTCTGGGCAGCATTCTGGTCACTCAGGTTCAAGAAAGATGAATTCAAACAGGATCAGGCACAGAAAAGGGCCACTAAAAGTTATCAGGGGGTCTGGAGAGCCAGGCGGGATCATATTCAAGGGTAATAAAGGACTTTGGCTTATTTAGTCAAGCAAAATGAAAGCTCAGAGAGGATATGACTGCTCTTTAAAAATACTCCTCTCTGAGCAGGAGATCATTTATTTAAAGAGAAGATTGGCACCAGAGTAAAGAAGCACAGACCGGAAATTAAAAGAAGGTTGCGACCATCAGAGACCCCAGGGTCCAAACCAGCATTCACACAAAAGGCACAGAGACAAACTACCAACTGGCATTATATAGAGCATGATAAAGTCATGAATAGGACGATATGACATGATGCCCCTGATGAAAGGGAAACGGACTCAGTGCCACCAAAGTTCCTTCCTGCCCTATACTCCTATTTATAGGTAAAATAGTATCTTCATCTACTTACACTCACACACAGTCTTAATGTTTGGCATGTATGTACACAGACCCCCACGCAAGGCACGTGGCCATATTCTTGTTTACCTTATATAACTGCTTCCCTGCTTAATCCCCAATTGAGAGCAGGGTCAGTGCAATACCCTGGTTATTTATTAGCTTGAGGAACACTTCCACCATGGTGCTTCATTTCTGTTAAGCTCTGAAGCATAATTTTTCATCTATCTATTAAGGCCACTTATTTAATTTACTGGCCTTCCAATTTTCTGTCACCAATTACTTTTGTTATAGTTCTTGTGACAAGTAATTTCAGTGTGAGTATGTGTGTGTCAATTTGCTGCAAAGAAACAGCTGTCTTTGTAGGAAAAAATGACAGGGAAAGCAGAAAGTCTGCTACTGCCATTTCTGCCCAAAATTAATCTAGTTGGTCATGACATCAATTTTGGTTACAGGCTCAAAATTTGTTTTCCACAAATTTTCATGTAAACAAAACTTCTCTTCTATGGATATTTATGAAAAGTAAACATGGCAAAGTGAATTATGGTCTCTAGTTCTCCAAAATGATTTTGACTAGTTTTTCCCACTATTCAGTCAGTATTATATGCACAGTAAGCTAATTGATATATTGTCATAGAGGCATTTATCATAAACCTGTACACACTCCACTTAATCCTTAATGGATCCCAAGGATTTTTTATTTATTCTTCATTGAAACTTCTGGAAAAAGTGAGAAAAAAATTAAGTGTTATTGTACACAGAGAATATTGCTATAGAAGTACCAGATAAAAGCAATAGTGAATCATAGTGAGAAGTGTATAAATAATTCCTTTTCATTTACAGGACAGATGCATGTTATTATCAGAAGAAAGGATGGAAAAGCCATTACATAGCACACATACTTCAGCACCTAGACACTGTGGTGAGTGATACCACATATATACCCAGCATAAACAGACAATTAGCGATACGTTAATTTACCAGGATAATGACATAGTGCATTCCATCTTTTTTCAGTTGTCGAATGTACTCTGGCAGACCTGAATAATTCTCTTTGTCATAGGTAAAGTCCAGATTACGTTCCATATAGTCGATATCACCATGTTGGACATCCTGATTGTTTGTTGAAATGAAAATATTTTAGTATTTTATTCACAGAATCAGAATTTACACAACGCTATGTAAAGCAAACTTATGAAGTAAATAACTTGCTAGCACATGTAACTTAAAATCCTGGACATAGCAATAGATTAAGAATGGGAAAAACAAATTCTGCTCTCACTCACAGCACTGTAAATGCACTATAACTAGCTATTGACTTTATCAGAGTGGACTGGAAGGTAACAAAGAGTACATTTGGTCCAAGCACCTTAAAAATTATTTTTGTTTGTGAGCTATAAGGATAGCATTTGAAAAACCATTACACAAGATTATGAATATCCTCTTACTGTGCCATTTCCTTCATACAGTAATTGT